GGACATATGTGGATATGAGAAAGTGGTTGAGGGCTTTGGAGCATATCACTAAGCACTTTGAACAAGCAAGCCATTAAGCAACACCTCACCCCCTTTTAATAGTATATTGGCTTTTCCTATGGACTCAATGTGATCTTGGATCACTAAAATGAAAATGTAGAGTCTTGAGCTTTTGAGCTTTTGCTAATCTTCTGTCCTTGGCATTTTGAAGGGGTTCCACGTCCTCTTGTCCAAGCCACTCCACTGTTGAACTCATCTGAAATATACTAGGTAAAAGTATTAGTCCAACAAGAGATATGTTGACATTAATTACCGAAATCACCCAGGGAGCACTTGTGCTTTCAGATGACGATTTGTATTATGAGTTAGGTGTTTTGGTGATCGAAGATTGTTCGGAGTCCCAGATGAGATCACGGGCATGACGAGGGGTCTCAAAATGGTCGAGAGGTAAAGATTGATATATTGGACGATAGTGTTCGGACACCGGAATGGTTCCGGACCGTTTCAGGTATTTTTCGGAGTACCGGGAGGTTATCGGAACCGTCCGGGGAAAGTAATGGGCCACTATGGGCCATAGGGGAGAGAGGAGGCAGCCCACAAGGGGTGGCCGCGTGCCCCCCTCATGGGAGTCTGAATTGGACTAGGGGAGGGGCGGCGCCCCCCTTTCCTTCTCCTCCTCCCTCTCCTTCCCCCTCCCCCCCTCCGTGAGAAGGAATAAGAGGGGGGGGGCGAATCCTACTAGGACTAGGAGTCCTAGTAGGACTCCCCCCACTTGGCGTGCCCCCTAGGGCCAGCCTCCTCCCTCTCCCTCCTTTATATACGTGGGCATGGCACCCCTTGGAGACACACCAATTGTTCCAAGCCATGTGCGGCGTCTCCCTCCACGGTTTACTCCTCCAGTCATATTCACATAGTGCTTATGTGAAGCCCTGCGCGGATCACATCACCATCACCGTCACCACACCGTCAGCCGTGCTGACGAAGCTCTCCCTCGACACGTTGCTGGATCAAAAGTTCGAGGGACGTCATCGAGCTGAACGTGTGCTGAACCCGGATGTCTCGTATGTTTGGTACTTGATCGGTTGGATCGCGAAGATGTTCGACTACATCAACCGCGTTAACCTAACGCTACCGCTTTCGGTCTACGAGGGTACGTGGACACACTCTCCCCCTCTCGTTGCTATGTATCTCCTAGATAGATCTTGCGTGATCGTAGGAATTTTTTTGAAATTGCATGCTACGTTCCCCAAGAGATGTGTCAACCGTTAGGATGTTTTAGTGTTTATTGGCTCCCATTTTGACCAACTCTAAGATTGGACACATACAAACTCCCTGGTGACTTAGATTTGACATGTTAGGTAGGCGGCGATGGTCGCATGAGGGGATGTCGCCATTGGGCATGTCACCGGATGTTGAATGTGGCCTCTCGTTCTCCACTATGCGTGGAGCCCTCTACCTTGAGGAGTACGAGTTCAAGCATAGCAGTGGCCCCTACTATCTCCCCTCACCAACACGAGTTATCTCTTGTTTGTTGCACGATGTCACTTGTTGGTTTTCTTAACTCCAAGGACCAGTTGACCTCCAACATCAACAAATCGGTGTGCACAAGGCACCATCAGTCGATGCAAGGGAGAAGAAGAAGAAGACGGAGCTACGGGAGGGTATTTCTGAATGCATACAAGTAGTAAAATTGGGGGCTTTGGAAGAAGGCGGCAACAGCAGATCAGTCAAAGGAGGTTAAAGTCCTAATCAACATCTACTAGTAGAATGCCCGTGCATTGCCACGTGCTTTTGAATTTTTTTGTTGAAGTTATATAAAGATAATGCATGGTAAACTTCAGAAGTGAAAACAATATAACACGAACACAATTGCATAATTGTAAAGTGAACTGATAACAAGAAGGCAATTTGATGATGTATACGTACAAAGCGATGCACTAACTAAAAATCTATTACAAGTCATTAAGATCTACTTGATGCGCTTAAGAAATTCTCGCACAATATCAGAAAAGTTGTCTTTACCTTCATTCGCACGATGTTTGAGCAAGTATAATAAACACTGATTCCTCAACTCATACCCATCGTGCAAAAACAAGATATGTAGTTAACACGAGTACTTCACATGGAAGGTCTTAAAACGTGTAACGGGCAATATTCATCGCACAAACCGACTTCATCAATTATTTATCGTTCCATCAGAGTATAAAATGAAAAACAAAATAGCCAAACATGTCCCCGCAATTTCCTAAATTATTATTATATTAAATATAGTGATAACAAAATAAATGTTTGTATTATGAATTTATTACCCATCATTGCTTGTTGAAATACCAGACGGAAATAAATGTTGTCATTTAGGCCTATCAAAATTCTAGCCCGGTTGCTTTATTTTGAGTGCTTCTTTGAATTCCCTCGCAATTTTTTTATATTTCACTAAATGCCTCAGAGTTTTAACCTCAGAGTGTTGTCCATGGATGACGTACAAGATCTATCGGCCTATGAATGCACATGGAAAATAAATATATAAGTGATAGCTGTTAGAAACAACAATAAACCATGACAACCAATGGACAAAAGATCATACTTACCATGTTGCACGATAAGATGTTGTCTATCCCAAGCCAGCTATCAAATAAAGTTGTCGGTATCTGAATAGTTTCCTCAACGCGGAACTTTTGATCTCGTGTTGAATCCAGCATCATGGATAATGAGGCAAGACTAACCATATCTTGCTATAAATAAGTATTAACATGTTGTACAATGTGATGATATTTTGATGGGTCTATGTCTTTTTCTCCGTCTTCTTTTATCTGACCAGATATAAACATGCTAATAATATGTACCTTTTTACCCACTCTGTCTCGTAGATGAACTTGAGCAAGCATACAATACATGTAAGCATTTATAACCTATAATTCAATGTTTACAATATATTGTATTATTAGATATTATATACGATTTATATTATTAAGTACAAAGTTTATGCAACCGGCCTTACATCATCGTGCAAGAACATATCATCTTTCATAAGGCATTCCAAATCATCATTTGATAACAAGGCATCTTCAATGTCCACGAACTTGGTATTCTTGGGGCAGACATGATTGATTCGATGGCTATAATATCTCTACAACTACAAATATAGTATGTTGTTACGATAAAAAAGAGTCAAATTAGTCGAATACAAATTGCAATATTACGAAGAAAAGATCAATAATAATATTGAAAAAATACCTTGTGCGACAACATTTAAATTAGCATCTTTTTTATGAGATATCATCGGTTCCACATAATTATGTTGTAAAAAACTCGGTGAATATTCAGCCCCTTTCAGCTACCTCGGTTCAGAACCCTTGTCGATGGGTTCCTTTTGAACATCTCCAAAATCCATATCTACCTCTTCTATATTCTGAAAGAAAAATATATAGAAATGCACTTTATTGTATTATCATGTATAACATACTTAGCTCAAACCCACATTAATCTATACCACATCATCTTGTAAACCGCCTAAGGTGATGATTTATCAGATATTATATATTTGAAACTGAAAAATGATTTTTTATTTGATTTTTAATGAAACTTTCTTCGAAATCACTAATTAAGGAGTACTCCTCGCAAAGATCACTCACACCTATTCAAGTTGTGACAAGTGACGCGCTGCATGTGCGTCACTTATTGCAAGTAGTTTTCACTTTTTTTGTAGATCCATTTATTTAAAATGTTTTATCTCTTAAACTGTGCGTCCAAATCTCGAACCGTTTTTCATGGTTGGATTTCTCACGTCGAGATCTTCAAAACTAGATCCCATGTTGATAGATTTTAACGAACTTTTTTCACGAAAAAAACCGGACGGAAAAACCAAACCGGGGACACCTTTTTCTCTTTCCAAAAGAGGCACGGCCGTGCCTATCGTGAAATTACAACTGTACCTCTCGCCGAAGCAAAACCGTATCTCTCGCGGAAGGAAAAAAAACAAAAACATATTTTTTCTGTTTTCGAGAGGCACGGCCGTGCCTCTCGCAAAAGCACAACCGTGCCTTTCGCGGAAGCAAAACCGTGCCTCTCGTGGAAGCAAAAAAACAAAAAACGCGTTTTTTCTGTTTCTGAGAGGCACGGTCGTGTCTCTCGCGGAAGAAAAAAAACAAAAAATACATCTTTTTTTCATTTCCGAGAGGCACGGGCGTGCCTCTCGCGAAAGCAAAACCGTGCATCTGATGGAAGAAAAAACGTATTTTTTTTTCTGTTTTCGAGAGGCATGATTGTGCCTATCTCAAAAGTAAGACCGTGCCTCTCGCGGAAGCAAAAAAACGTGTTTTTCGCGCAAAAACATTTTTTCGAAAAAAAATTGGCCCAAAAGCTAAGGAAGACCGGTGCATAAAAAGCCCGTTTAAAAAGCCAAAAACTCGTGTAAAAAAATAAAAAATATCGAAGGGAGCGTCCAGAGCGCGACAGTGGCGGGCGGTTGAGAGTGCGTCAAGTGGCGCTGATCATTGTGAGGCTAACGAAGGAGCGCTTGTCAACTAGTGCTTCCGACTTTCTTCCATTCCATGTTTTGTTTTTAGAACCTCTTCAGTTCTTCAAAAAAAGATTAGTGTTTTTTTGTGCTAGGAAGATTAGTGATTATGGACCGAGATATTTTTCCTACCAGGAGGCAAGCGATAGGCCGGCCTCTAATACGGACTCGCTGGTCAACAGCAAGGCCCATGTAATTTGGGCCCAGAGCTATTGACCTTCCCCCTCTCTCTCTCTCTCCCGCAGCTCCA